GATTTCAAAGAATTACTCATAGTTTGAATTTCATGTACCAAACACTGGTTACTCATTAAGGAAAAGAAAACTACCAAAACTAGAGAGATTCCATTTTAGATAATGAACACAACATTTCCTAACGGAAAAATGGGAGAAAATATTTTCTGCCTTCCTTCCTGTTAATTTCTGAGCCTGGTTTTCACTCCACTGTGCCCAAAGGAGTTGAGTGGTATACAACAATTCTGCATGTGCTGAAGGGAGAAGAACTTTTTATTAGCGGAATTCACGGCTTTGTAATTTACTTCATACAGGGAAACCATCTCAACATGCCAAACAACTCACCAAGTATTATTACCAAACTACACATCTCTGAAATTCAACCCTGTAGATTTCCAGAGCTGTAACAATCTTCCAGACCTCCTAGAATATACTCCACTACCAAGGCACTTGCTCATGCTATCATCGGTGTGTATCTCTTTTCTGCAGGTTGCACCACACCTTGAGGCCCAGATCAGCCATGGAAGTTGGGTTTTGTCTTAAAGACACCGGACCTTAAAGGAAATGAAACCAACTGATGGCTGGTTTTCACAGATATTTCTTAACCAGAGGAGAATCTGGAGTCCCACTTCAGGCTCAGGCGGGAATACAGTATACAGCAGTACAGCAGACAGGACGGACAAATACTCTGCATGTTCCTCCTGTCTGGAGCTGGAAAGTCTCCACAAGTTTTCAAGCTATAGAAGAGACAGATCCATCTTCATTTTGCCCTCAGTACTGAGCCTTTATATCCTATCCCTGTCTCCTTCGTTTGACTTTCCCAACCTGGCTTCTTCTTCCTATCCTCTTTCCTTGCCTGCCGCTCATCCTGCTCACTCAACATTTGGCACCAGGACTGTCTACTCAGCCAGTGACAATCCTCCTCTTCTTGCTCCATCTCTCCTGGCTGGTGCTTGGTTCTCTCAGTTCCTACCTCACACCCCTAGTCCCAAAGCACAGACCCCTTCCCTCGGTATCTTTGTGCAGCCACCCCAAATTATTCCTTGCTCTGGTGGTCTTCATCCAAATCTAGCACCAATCACCCTTAACGATAAGCTCCTGACTCCTGTGGTTGGTCTCCCTCTTGTCTCTAAATTGTTTTACCCAATTTTACCTTCTATGCCTCAAGCATCTCCCAGACTCATTCTCCTCACCTGGTCATACCTGCAGATCCTTCCCTCCCTACGTTCAGCCTCCTTATCCCTAGGTATGCCCCTCCTTCTTACCGAGTCAGCTCTTCTCTCTCCTGTGCTAGAAACAGCTTTTTTATCCATGGAGTCTGGGTGGTCTTTGAAAGCACAGAAGAAACACGCGCGGAGCTGTCAGGGCCGGCAGTGCCTTGCCCAGGACAGACTGGAGCTGACATTACAGGGAAGATCGGGCTTCTTTCCTGTGGCTATATGTGGGAGCAGGCTCAGACAGCCCGAGGAGTTGGTACCTGCGCATTTTACATTGCTTTAAAGAGCTGCAAGAAGCTCAGGTCTGCTAAATCAGAAGAGAATTGTTTGTTGCTATAAAAGACAGACCTCTCTGCTGATAGGAAGAATTAAATTGCACTGAGGAAGATAGTCAAACACAAAGACAGACTGCCACTGAGGCTATGAAAGCCTTATCATTCAAGGACTTGAAGCAAAAATTAAACAAACAGCTCTCAGAAATACTCCAGGTAGACCTGACTGTTTTGGCATACAGGGGTGGATTAAGATAAACCATCAAGGTCCTAATTTCCTAAGGTTTATGAAAAAAAAAAAAAGCTAAATGAAATTTTACGAAGTTCTTAATTTCAGAGGTTGCAGAGGGTTTTGGTAATGATGACAAAAAGCACAAAAGTAATCTCCTAACAAATTTCAGGTTTCTGCTCTAAAACATGACAGCAAACTGTTAAAAGAAAAAAAAGAAAATCACCAAAATGTCTCAAACACACAAAACTGTGCTCCACCCTACCCTTGTTCTTGGAAATGAGTGAACTGCTTTGGCTGAAATTTGCCAAAACTTGAGCCTGAGTCAGACACCTGGCATGTAAAACTTCAGCCGTTGGTTACGTTTTGGCAAAATTCTAAGCAGTTAAAAACAGGTCCTAATAATGAGAAGCGACAGGCAACCTTAATAATATGCAGACATGTCTAGAATATAAAAATATTTCCCAATCTGGCTCAATGCAGCACACATTTCTGACACGCCGCCATAACTGCTTCTTTATCTTCTCTACTATTTCTTGGCTTAAATACTACAAATGTTAGACTTCAGTGTCGCATAAAGAGAATTTAATTGTTATGCAATTTGAAAACAAAAAGCCTTTGGCAAGGCAGTACAGCAAGTTAAATCCTATTGTGAGTAGCAGTAGATCTTTCTTTATTATCTTTGGAAAAATACCAAGCCTATAGGCTGATCAAGGAAGAAAAAAAAAGCAGAATTTAAGCAAAAGAGATAAGACCTTCACTGAAATTGTTACCATTAAGGATTGGACTATGCCAGGTGCTTTGCTGGTCTTTAGGGGAAGGTTACTCAGGCTGTTTCCTCCTGAAGCTCAGGGTATCTAACAGCATCCTGAGCTTTCAGCCTGTAGCATGGGATGATCCTGTGATTACTTCACCTGATGACAATCACCACTACAACAGCCACCACGCAAAAACCCCAGCTTTAAAGCTATTGTGTGAGGAAGCTCCTGGGTCATGTCAGGGCATCCCAACACAAGGATCGTAAGGAAAAATAAATATGAACAGACTTGGATTTGCAGGACTGAGGCCTATTAAATTACTGCTGTTGCAAAGAAAATATTGGAGAATAGGGTAAAAAAATCCCATGAGGTGCCAACTTGATGGGAATGGAAAATGTGTTGTCTTTCTTATGATGTGCCAAGTTGGTGAAACTGGAATGTGTTTTGAATAAAAAGGAGAGGAAAATGGCATCTGTAATAGATACGATGTCATGAGAAGCCAACTATTTTGATTTTAGAGTCCTGGCACAATGTTGGGTGAAAAAGTGATTTAATGTCATTATCATGCAAAAGCTAATGAAGATATGCTAGCTATCAGCTATGGTGGGCTATATATGCCAAAAATAAATGATTCAAGAATATGTAAATTAGTTTGGATGTAAAAAGGGTGCTATAGAGCTGTCTTATGAAACTGTTCCCCAATGGGCACAAGGTAACCCAAATACATAAACCCCGATTCTGGCATGTTGGTATAACACTCGTATACTGGCTAAGTATGAGAGTACCTATCTCCCCATTGCACTAACTTGGACTTTTTGCAATAAAGATAATGAACTCATATTCTCCTTGGTTTATGCAAACACATTTTCGACAATAAATTTAGTAACTGTGTCTGTAGCTGTTGAGAGGGAAAAACCTAATAAATCCAACAAGATAATAGCTCAAGGAATTAAAATAATTAGAACTTCACTGAGCAGCTACAGGATTTGTGTCTGAGTCATAGCCTAATTATAGCCCTAGCACATCAGAAGAATCTCTCCCTATGAGTCTGTCTGAGTTAGGCAGAGTAAGCCATTACAGGGCCCCAACAGCCCAGACACAGAAAAACAATTCAGACATTCTACTACTTCCCCAAAAGATCCCGTGCATCTCAAATAGCCATTAATTTCAACACATGCATAAAAATATAGATAAGAAAGAAGATTAAATGGAATGTGTGTGTACAATGTGTATTTTATAAACTAACTTTGCAACTCAGGGGGATGTCCATAAGAGTAGAAATCTGCTAATTCTGCTTAGTGGCCCATTGCAAATGACTTTTTTTGCATTAGGATACAAATGTACCCACAATATTACAAATAAAGAGAACATCTGCATCACGAGGCACTGCCTGTTTATTGATCTGACAAATATAATTTAAAATTTAATTACCATTCACAGTTCTCAGAATACAAGCATATTTTATAAGTATTTGGTTTTATACCATGAACTCCCTCTACAGCATTCTGATCGAATACATCTGCTGTGCCACTTCTAAGGCATTTCACACATCAAAGTTTAAATGGAAACTAACTAAACCCCACAAAGTCCCTGGTGAAGATCAACATTAGCTTCATTCTACAGAGGAGGCACAGAGTACTCAATTTTATCTAAAAGATGGTGGGCATATGAACACTGACTGTGAAAAGCAATAGTAGGCTGATGATAAATGTGATTTATCAGCTTTCCTCCCTAGCTGGTGGAGCATACACTTACCTGGGTATGGGGCACATGGGGGTGATGGTCGAGCAGCCCTTGGAAGAATCAAGGGAGTACAGGGTGGCCATAGAGCCACAGGGCAGGAGGAAAAGCAGTCATCTGCATCAGCCATAAACTCTAGCTACGCAACAGAAATTTTGCAGCAACTTCTCCACTTTGCTAGCACCATTGGATGGGTATAAATGAGCTGCCAGCTGTCCCTGCACCCTCCCAAAGCTGTCTCATATTTTCAAACCAGAATGCACAGACTTTCTCTGAGCCAGGTTAAGAGACACAAATATGCGCAGCGGCTAACATACCACCCTTGCTAGGATTCCCAGCTTTTTTAAGAGGTGAAACGGTACTAAAAATAAGACACCCTTGCAATGCTTTACAACAGCATTAGTAAGAATTCAGAGAGGGAGCTAAAAAGAACTCTTTCACTGGAGCGTAATAGTAAGGAAAGACTACGTGTGAAAGGCAATGAAAGTCAGAATTTTGAAGCTGAATGTAAACCTGCTAACAGGTTGTCTGCAAGGTAGCCGGAGGGAGAACACCAGCTTATGGCTTTAGGGATCATTGTTATACAAACCACTGACACATGGCATTTTTTAAGGGAATACCTTTTTCTTAGACTGCAACAGGAGCATGAGAAAGGGACCAGACCTGTGTGTGCAAAACATAGGGTAGGCCTACCAAAAAAATACGTATTTGCCAGAATCCGTTATGTATTGAGTTGGCAGTGGCATGACATAAGGGAGATCATGTCACCAAAAAACTGTTCAGTCTTGAAAAAGAAAGTACTTACGTATCTCCTGACTTGCGGTAATTTTCTGGACATTCCAAAGACAGACAGCGAAAGCCCCCCTGGATGTTAAAGCAGGTCTCATTGAAAGAGCAGTTGTGGCTTTCTGCAACACACTCATCAATATCTGCCAAATGGAAAAAGGTGAGTGGATTAAAGACATGCCTTTCCTCTACTTGCAGGTGCCGGATGATGAAAGTATCATATTAGATACTACAGAACATGGGATGCAATTAAACATTATTAGGGATTGGAAGGGGAGGGCAGGAGAACAAAAAAAGAAGAAAACTAACCCAAACAGCAGGCAAGAACAGGAGAAGGAAGAGCAGCAGTGCCACTAAGTGGACAAGACCTAAATATTTGCTGAAATGTTTATAGTGAGATATTTTCTTTTAATGGCTAAACTCACTCATATAATTTCACAGTGGGAATCTTCAGAATTTGTTAGAATTCTTTATAATGTTATAAAAAAGTATTCTCCACTGCATTCTATAGTTTATAAGAGAAATGTCCTGTATATTTATTATAAAATACTGGTTTCTTTGGATTTCAAACTGATGTTTACTGCTTTACCTGTACTACTGTAGGAAAGGCATATTTTTAAACATAAAAACTTGCTAGAAATTTTCAGAAGTCCACAATCCAGTTAGGTATCCCTGCAGTTATTGAACTCACCTTGGCAGCTGCGTGCATTGGGTGCCAACCTGTAGCCAGTGGAGGGACAAGTACACTGAAAGCTTCCAGGAATATTAATACATCGAAAGGAACAGATATGGCCTCCAGTAGGTAAAGCACATTCATCGATATCTGCAAGAAGAAAACACCACTAATTTACTATGTGTTCATGACATTTCAACCAAGTGCACATGTATGGCTTTCCTGCTGCAAGCTTCAAACACAATTTCCTGATTCTAATTGCTGGGCAAGGAAAAAGATCATTAGATAGGGGTGGCTCCAGTCAATAAAGGCTGCCAGGAATAAATGGAGGTGTGAAGAAAATTAAAAGCAATGTGAGGGCCCAAGAGACAAAGTAAATGGATAAGAGCAAGCACTTTACAGTGACGTGTATCACAGTACTTTACGAAAGGGAGGGAGAGGAATAGTTTTACCCCTGTTCTTAAAAAAAGGAAATTGAGATGAGGTGTTCTGCCTAAGGTCTCACTGTCTAGTAAGTCCTGGAAACCTAAGTCCAAATTCAGGATCTCGTTCATGAGGTCACACCCACATCCTCCTTGTATTTGAGGAAAACCTTACTTACACATTAGTTCAGAACCAGCCACAAAAAGAGGATATATGAAATACTATCTACTAATATTATGTATTATACATGTAACCTATAAATGTCTTTGTATCTTCACTTGCTGAAGACAAGAAATTCTGTTAGCTCCTCAGGAAAAAAATAAAAATCTGGTAAGTTACAAAAATATGCCAAGCTACAGTTCACTGTAAACAGCAAAAGTGACACCACCCAAGTCTATTTCTAGAATAGGACATGGGTAGAAGACCTTCATTATATAAAGTTTCATAGTTTCAGAGGAAGATACTAGAGAACCAAATGTTAAAATCAAACAATTACAGGAGCATGGAACTGTTCATACATGTTACAGTGAGAATACGAAATGCTCACTCATATTCTAGCTGCAAAACAATAATGCTTACCTTCACATGAAATCCCATCTATGTCACTAAGTTGAAAGCCACGGCGGCAGTAACACTGATAGGAGCCATACACGTTGGCACACTCTTGGCTACAGGGGCTGCTCTCACACTCATTTAAATCTGAAATGCAAAATTATATACCTGAACCCCAAATTTCTTGCTATATTCATCACTCTTATTACAGGACTAAGGCAAAACTTTGGAAAACAATTTTTTTAATTTAAAAAAGGATGGTCTGCATGTCACTGAGTAAGCTGGAAATAAGGGGCTTTGGGTGTCTTACTCTCAACAGGGTCTGGCAGTATAGATCAATCTGCACTGTGCTATGATTTCCCACTGTCCTTCAAGGTGTGTGATTTAGATGGAGTCTTTAGGACCACACTTGCATTTTTATCTCTGGGTATCAGCAAGGCTGGTTTTGAAGATCTTGAATCCAGTCTAGCTGAATCACCCTTCAAAATACAGTAAATGCAGATTCATACACCTCTGCGTGATCCAGCTAAAGGGCAATATACTGGAACTGTGGGCTACAGTGTCCTTGATTAATCATAACTGCATTGATTTCTCATGCCATTCCATTGCAGTCTTACAAGCTAAAATCAAACGGAAATAGCTCAACAGCAATGAGCTGTATCTCACACTATAAGCCAAAGCATATGACAGCCATACCTTCACACGACCTGCCATCAGCTGAAAGTTTGAATCCCATGGTACAAGTGCAGTAATAGGAACCAGGAGTATTCTCACACTTGTGAGCACAAAGGCGGCCTGGATAGCGTCTACATTCATTGATATCTGCAACAATAAATATACACAAGGTCTACGTATTGGCTGGCTTCACTGCAGGAGTAGCCTGGACAAGAATGCGGTCATAAAAGTTTGATTTTTGTTTTCAAGATCTAAATTTCATACCAGAGAGGGAAGAGCTTGCTCAAAATGCTCATTTAGAAGTACCCCAGTGCATAATTGAATTAGATCTATAAAGAAGAAAGTTGCTTTGATCTTCCAAAGGAATGTTTTGCTGTAGGTGCATATAAAAGTATCACAGAAAACAATTACACGCACTCTCATAATCTTACCTTTAAACAGGATAACAGATAACATGTTGACAATACTAATACAGCTTCCTTTGAAGTATCAGCATCTCTCTAATATGGTATTAGATTTATACAAATAATACAGTAGTCAATTTTACATTCAGATGAAAGAGGTTATGCAGAGAGCAATAACATTCTTTACACGGGATCATTTTTTAAAATGCCATGGCTGCATGTATTTAAGTCGATAGGTGCAACTTACCAATACAAGTTCTACTGATGACATCAAAAGAATAGCCAGATTTGCACTCACAACGGTAATTGCCTGGGGCATTTATACAGACATGTCCTTCTCCACAAGGCTGATTAGAGGATGAGCACTCATCCACATCTAAAAAAAGAGAGAAGGGATTGAAAGTATACTTCTGAGCATGCAAGTTGAGAGAAGAGCAACATGTTAACATATTTCTGTGTCCCCTAGTAGTTATAAATTGTTTTGAAACAGAAGGCAAGATTTTGATCTAGCTCTCAGCTTCCACAGGAAGAGTCACAAATCCAAACTGTTCTTACTGACGGGTTATCTCTCAGGTGTCCTGTTAATGTTGATGGACTTGGGAGGGAAAATAAATCAGGAAATCAGACAATCTTTGGAGGAAATCAGGTGCAAAATTGTTTTACTATGCACAGTCAATATTCATGGATCAGATCTTCAGCTACTGTAAGATGCCAGAGACCCACAGTCAGTAGTGCTTTGATAAGCCATTTACAAAAACTGAAAACACATGCAAAACCACCTCTCTTTTGCAAAAGTCACCTTAGTTAAAAGCTAACCAAAGGCATATATGCCTTTCAACATTACTTGAATGGCTTCTGTGGGACATTAAGTGGGCATTATGTTACACCTCTGTATTGGGGAGATTTCAGACCACACAGCATTGTTCCAATACACTAATACAGTCACAGACAATGCCATTTTGGGGGGGTGATTATCATTTCTCCTATTCTCAGAATACAGGGTTTCATGAGTTATATGAAGGACAGAGAGTGGATCCTTGTCATTCTTCACTTGTTGGGACTGCCAGGAGGGAAAGAACAGGATCAAGAATTGACTGTGGAAATGAGGAAAACTTGGGCAAAGTGGAAGAAACCGGTAAGCTTAAATCATAGATGTGATTTATTTTCTTCAAACTGTTTTGTCTTCAAAACTGTTACTTACCTACGCATCGTGTTCCGTCTTCATTGAGGTGGTAACCTCGGCCACAGTTGGGTGAGATGCGCTGGCAGGTGTATGAGCCATCGGTGTTAATACACATCTGCCCAGCTGGACATGGCATGTTGGTGCTCAGGCATTCGTTGATATCTGCAAGAGCACAATGAGTCAGTGTAACTATCTGCTGTCTGAAGACATTTAAGGTAAGATGCTTTCGTTATTCAGTCCTTCAGAGGATGACACCCTGATGTAATCCTTCAGAATTTGAAAAGCTCTGCCCATGAGAGAACACAACTATTCCTGTCATTTAGCTTCACTGATGTAATGCTTCCAGGGTGAAGATTGGGAGAGATATGAGAGCCCCAGATCCCGCCGAAAAGAAGTAGAAATGGGGTACAGAACTTGTATTTGTTGAAAAGCCTTTGAACGTCTCCCTTAAACATACAAAGAGATGATCAACAATTCAGTTCACCAGCTCAACCAGTTACGCTGCAGTCTCTGGGTTGTGGTTCGCAGTGAATGAGCTATTTAGTAGTACGAGCTCATAAAGGTAGCAGCTGACTCCGTTTTTACGGAGAGATAAACTGCTGCTCACAGGTATTCCCCATGACTACCTTACCTTGTCTTAAGGTAGGCTGTCCACGTAAACACATAAGAATGCAAATAGCTTATTTATATATTCACAAGACTATGCAGCCCTCTACCATCCATCAAACATATGCCTGTTTTTTTTTTCCAGACTGGACATTGTATCACTTTGTGACAAAGATACCCTTTGCCGGGTAAGAACCCACTATAAAGTAAAATCTCAGAAAATGTAATGAGATGAGACTAAGCTATATTGGAGTATGATCTGGTGTGGCATGTCTAGTCAAGAAGGTAAGGAACTCACTGTTACACAAGGTTAGCGTGTGCTATTAGTTTGGGGGAAAGGACTTTCAGAGTCAGGAATCAGTGGATAGAGGAGATACTGAGGCAGACTCTGCTACCTGGAAAAGTCGACGGAACTAAGACCTGACAGTTTGTAGGAGCAGCACTGTTTGTGAGTGCTTGCATTCCATAACCTTCAGCGAAGTCCAGCTTCATGGGAGTAATTCTCTGCCTACAATTTTCCCAACTGTTTCACTGGGATATTATCATCATTTTACACAGTGGTGCTGTTAACTGTTGAAGAGCTACTGCCTTCCAGTTGGCATGGTATTAAGCACGGCATCTAGCTTGCAAAACATCGGTTGCCTGTAGATGGGGAAAGGTATGTCATTTCAGTCAGGCCTATCCCAGCTCACTAGAGTGTAAGATTTTCACCTTATGATGACACTGGCAATACAGGAAAGTTTTCCTACTTTTCCCCCTTCATCACCGCAAAGGGCAGCATTTGATTTACAGTTTGTTAAAATCAGCCTGTGAAATCGTTTGGGTAAATATCTTGAGCAAATGCATTTTAGAGGACATATCTATTGCTGCTGCAAATTGATATGGCTTTGCTAATGTCAGTGAAGGCAGGATAACTTCTAACAGCCGTGGACCTGGTGCGAGCTCTGGCAGATACACGTCTCCAAAGGGTTTGTTCTGCGCAAGCCCTGGCCCCCTTCATTTTAAAGGCTGCAATTTTGCTTTCAGCCTCGGTGTTTCCAGTGTCAGATTTCGGCACTACAGGGTATGATATGGTCAGGGGAACGCGGGGCTGACAATGAGCTAGACTTGGCAGCTGCTGCTGCTCAGCCAGTTCCACAAGTCCAAGGCACGCTACGCCGCTGGGGGAATTCAAAGATAAGTTAAGACTTGAAAATACTACTCAAGGGAATAACTGATAGATTTGTAGGTCATGTTAGACAATTCCATTTAGGGTCTGCTGGAAACCAGTAATTCTAACATATTTACATAAAGGTTATAATTCTGTTCTGTAGGAGTCTTGGAAACAAGGCATTAGCCCGACAGATCATAATCAGTCTTTAAAATAAAACTCTTCTCCACGGTGTATTATAACTGGCCCATCATTCTCATACATAGTAAGATTCTTGATAAGCTATAACTGAAGGGGGACAGGTCTGGAAATACCTAAATACCTGTAGCACCACATATACTAATATCAATGAAGTGTGTTACAAAGGACATAATGAATTACAGCTTTTATACTAAGCTTTACCTAATACCTTTTGGATAGAGAGAGATAAAACACGTCACAAATTTTTTAACAATTTTGTTTCAGATAAAATCCCCAAAGACTTAAGGAAAATGTTCAAATGCAGCTAAGTGCCTTAGGTAACCAAATCTCATTAAAAACAAAGATCTAGCATGTAAGTCTTATTTAAACAGGATTTGACTGTAAATCTTACCTGTGGGACCAAGCCTGCCTTTAAAGGACCAGAAAAATCACATAGCAGAGCAATGCATACATGCATGAAGAATGACTTGAGAAGCTCAGAACTCACCCAGTGAAATCACAACTTATCTCATAGGCAACACTTAAGTATTCACCGAAATAAGAATACGCCTTACCAATACAGTTGCCTAGCGCATCTTGTATAAACCCATTCATGCACTGTAGCTTGGGTCGGCAACGGAAAGATCCAGGAGTATTCTGACAGATAAAATCGGGGGGGCAGTTATGAGTACCAGTCTCACATTCGTCAATATCTGGTACATCACAAAAAAAAATTGTTAGCAGGAGTTTGACAGAAGCTTTTTCATCACATTTAAAACATAAGACATAGTTAAAAACATCAGACAGACTAATCCTCAGCATATCTTCATGCAATTCAGTGCAGTGAACCAGGATCAATCTGACCTACTACCTCAAACAGAATCTCAGTAAAACCAGGTAGAGTAAATTAAGGTTTTTATTATTTTATTAATATCATGGGGGGGGGGGTGTTACCATGCTTTACAAGTTTAGTTCTCACAACTAAATGATTCAAAATTATTACAGAGCACCTCAAACATCACGTTCAGCAGTGTTCAGCGTTGATTCAGCAGTGTGCTTACACATGGGCTGAGCTTTGAAGTCGGTAAGAGTTAACTATATGTCCAAGTGCAATTTTATTTTTACCCTTTGATCCAATACAGACATTGTCAATTTCTTTCATAAGTTAATTAACTGGCCTTGATTCTCATCCATATTAAGGCTTGCAATATCCTTGCATTATTGTGCTTTAAAATGCACATAAATACGATTTCTGCCCACTTTAATATTCCATTCCAGTTCAGAATGAATGAAGCTTCATTCATAAATGAAACCCTGTCCACATAAAAGCAGCTAAAATTTAATGTTTGCCATCTTGCAATGGGATGAAATCTCCTAAAGCTATTAAAATACAGAAAGCCTCAGCTATCCCATTTATGCCGTTGACAAACAGTAGATGCAATTGCTTATCCATAGAGCTTTGTGAGAGTTAAATAATGATTGTGGAGCCCATTTTAAGTTTAGGATGGGTTAATACTGAATTGGGTTCAGCATTTTTTTGCACATCTCAGTCATTTTACTTGGCATTTAAAAATCATACATGAAGATTATTAATTTTCTATTTTCATTGTTATTAATGTAACATTAATAATTAACATTATTAACATCTTATCCATATAAGAAATTGCTAACGTTAATGGCATGTGTAATTTACTGTCTGTACTCCTTTTTTTTCCACCAGAGAAAGATTGTTAATACTTGCTGGTAAGCTATTTGTTGGCCTAAATCTGATGTCATTCAAATCAGCAGAAATTTTACTTCAAAGGGATCAAAGTTAGACCATGATACTTTGAAAAACATTGTCTGTATGTTCTGCAGGTTTTGTGTTGGAGTTTCTTCGTCAGCTTTTTTATTCAATCTATTATTCATCACTGATCAGTTCCTACAATAAAACCTTACCCAGAATTTTGGTTGAGTTAATTTACTCGGTGGAATGAAATCAGTCTGTTCATAAACAATTCTAAGCTCTGGCGGAACAGACTTTCTCATAGTGGAAACCAATTCCACATCAAATGGAGTTTGCTGCTAATTTATATCTCTGTAAAGGCAGCATGTCGGGTGAAGTCATGGATGCACATAACAGCATACTTCGAGCTAGATGCGACTTGAAATCAGTCATTACTTCAGTAAATAAGACTATTACCATTGTGTTCAAACATAGCCAGTCAAGAACAGTGCTTTTAACCCTTTTTAATTTTTAAACCCTTAAGAATATTGTGATTAAGAAATTAATCCCTTTGCAACAAATTTAAACCTCCTGAGGATAAAGGTTTACTTTCTTTAAAAGATGCATCTACCTTAGCGTTTTCAAATTGAACCACCTGGTCACTCCACGTGCCACACCTCATTTCACACTTTGAAGTGTGCAACCTTGATTCTTTCAGATTAAACTAAACCATTAGATATGCTCCAGGAGCAGGACTTAGGCACTCCACTCGCTAATGAGCAACTAATTCACAGGACTAGACTAGTGCTGGCCAGAAGTAAACACCAGGAAAATGTGTATAGTGTGAGTGCTGGGCCTTCAAAATCAAGTGTTTCAGTCCCCAGACCAGCTCCTATCGCACAACACAAATTGCCAGTGTAAAATAAATGTAGTTATTGCTCTTCGAAGTCTTTATAGCAGTCCACAGACAGCCTGATCTGGTATCTGCAAGGTGCCAGGTAGCAAACTACTGTCCCAGAAGAACTAGCACTGTCTGCGTGTCCCTGTGTAACTATGGCTTACCTGTGTATTTACCAAAAGTAGAAGAGTATGACATGATGATGTAGTCATTTTTTTACTGAAGCCTGGAAGATTTTCTGTTTCTCTGCACAGGACATACCTTTGCAACGACTGTCATCTGTCAGTTCGTAACCAGTTCCACAGCTTGTGTCCCGCTGACAGCGAAAGGATCCTAATGTATTGACACAAGTTTGTCCAATCCCACAGCTGTGCGTCCCAGTGATACACTCATTAATATCTAGAGTATGAAAAATTATTTAAAAAAAAAAAAAAAGAGTAAATAAGAAACATGAAATCTCTGGGAAGAGATGAGATCAAAGGCTAGCGGTGGGCACAACTCCAATGAGTCATTACTTTGAGCATTAGGATACAAAGAATGGTGTGCATTTGGCCTCACACTCACATACCCACAACGTGGCTACTCGTCTCTATTCTCAGAGCGTGAGCCAGTCAAGGCATTTTGACCCCGTTGGTAACAGGAGTTGTGACTGCTGATTCACTGTACTTAAGAAAGAGGAGGAGGTTGTACTGAGAGAGAGCAAAGGGCCAACATCATCTGACTGAGTCCAGTAGCAGATGATTACAGTGACTGTAGAGGCAAACTTTCAGAAATCCTTCCCTTGCTCTGCCTCCTACCCACATATAACTTAGGGACTCCCTGGAGCCACAAGCTGCAAGTTCCTATTTTATAGCAACTGATAGACGTTTCTTTGGCGAATTTTTTTCTTTTTCTCCTTAAATGCATAAGAATATTTGGCACCCACGTGTATCAAATGTAAAAGTTCTTCCTTTTTGTATTTCACACTAGGTTAGTGTTAATCTGACCAATCAGCAATATCTATTATATTTCCTGAAGTTCGCATCTGAGCTGCTTACCTAGACTCCCTTTTCAGTCAATGAGAGAAAAAGGCACCCCTGATGAGTAACGGTTTTCATCCTACAACAGCTACGCAAAACAGGCAAGATACACTGTGCCCTGGAGGTGCTTGTTTCTCTAAGCAACAAAAGGAGCCTTAGCCTAACGAGCGCAGAAGCAGACATCCACGTTGCACATATCTGAAGTCAAGTGCGATAAGCTCTACCCCAGCCCATTTCATCTGATGTCCTTTTAGTTGTTCTTCTGGAAGAAACTTAATGATTCTTCCCCCTTGACTATTCCCGTGCCACTCATGATATCCCAGATTTTCATCCTTTCTTTCAGTTGTGTCCTTAGCAAGCTGAAGAATCCTACTGTATTTCCTCTGCCTTATAAATTACTATCTACTGCTATAAAAAAGAATGGGTATTTTATTTTGATTTTATTCACAACAAGATCTTCTGTCTCTTCTCCACTCTAAATCCTTCATCTGTTCTACTGATTTTTTCTTAACTCCATCTTCCCACAACTCTTACTCCAACACTCTGTTTAAATCAACTTTTCATGATCTTACCTCTTTCCCCAGTTAGTATAAGCATATTCTGATCTCTTCTATCTGGATCTTTTTTTGTCTATCCTTGCCCTTTTAAAACAAGGATGTTGATAATTCAGGCAATGGTTTTATTTCTTTTACCTTCACAGTTGACACCATCTGGTTGAAGCTGATACCCGACAAAGCAGGAGCAGACATAACTGGATCCTGTGTCTCTGCACTGCTGAGAGCAGGGACCACCACCTAATTGGATATTTTAAGAAGTCTTAATATCATTAAGAGGCTCTTCACAGGAACTGAAACAAACCAATGATTTACAGGATGCTTGCTGATTTATTTAGAAAAGCAGGTAACTAAACACACATATATGAAAGAAGGAAAGGGCTAAATGCTGAAAAAAGTGGTTGCAATCACTGAATTCTTTTAGCTCTAAAAATGAATACAAGAAGGAAGTAAATTAAGAAGTCGCTCATAGCCCATCATTACTAGAAACTGAAGGGAAAATGCTGATGAGCTCAGACACCTCCTCAGGTTTTGGCTGGGAAGTTAAAACTTTGTATGGTGATTACTGTACAGTAAGGAAGACAAGATGCATCACCACAAGTTAATGAAACATTTTCACTATTAGCTGCACTCACCATAAATTAATGAAACATTTTCACTATTAGCTGCATTAGGCTTTATTTTTAGCCTGTCGTTATTAAGACCATACTCCTGAATTAGCTATAGCATATGTTCTTTTCCTACTCAGCAGGCAGGAAACATGAAAGGGAGAAGAAAGTATTGTGCATGACAAAGGCTTCAGAGAACCTAAAGGAATTAACTTACTACTGGGGTACTAACAACCTAGTGAGGTGTGTGCAGGAGTCACAAAGGATGTGAGAGAGAGCTGGGGTTATCCTGGCAGACAGAAAGAGAGTATACTATAGCAAATTTACACAAACTTTGGCTCATCATTAATAAAACTTACTTTTTCTGGTCTTGTTAAAAAATAAATTAATATTTATTCTCACAATAGAGAAAAGGTTATATACTCCAACTATTTGTTGTAAGACTACTGTTATTCTTAGTACATAGTACCTGTCTTCATTCTTCAGAATGGCTGGATAGGCATTAAACAAATGGTTTGAGAAAACACAATCAACGTGGGCAAATGTAGCTATAATACTTTAAAATTTTGAGCGAATTAAAATAATTTTTTAAAGTCCAACAATTTCTAATGAGGACAGGGCCATTAATACACCACAGAAAATCAGGTCCATACGCAATACTGGCAAAGGCAATTATATTAAAAGGAACCAGAGTCTTGTGGTTGAGATTTGACAGTTACCGCTTTCTGAACCTCTGCTAATACTGTGAACTCCTGTCAGCCACAGTAAAACCTATAATGGAGGTGTTGGAAGAACAGAATTAATTTCCTCATATACCACGAAGGTGCTCCAAAACAAACTGCTGGGAGTTCCACTGCCTAGGAAATGTAAGTTTCCCCTGGTGAAGACTGGAAAATCACAAGTAATTTTGGCATGCCAAGTTTATCAGAAAATACACTGTAGACAGAAACTCTAATTTGTAATTAGTCATACCAATCTGTCTCTTGCAGGCAGCTGATTAACTGACAAATGTAACAACTGATTACATAAAGAAATAATGCTAGGAAAATATATAACACATTTTTCTATGTCATCTCTTGTAATTAGCAGTTGGAGACAAGGAAGAGAGCCAGTGTTGGCTTTGACTACCTAATGACCTAGTAGACATTTCCATCCTCTCTAGAGTGTAATAGCTATACAACATGCAGCACAGTAAATCATCTCTCAACTGGCATATAAGTCTATTAAATTTATTTTATCCTAAATAAATTACTTAGTTCTGAAATGCTTGTAGAAAATAATAAATCACTGCTGTTTTAAGTTTATAGACATGTAAATCACATGTGACAAGCAATAAATCAGAATACTTAGCAGAACAATATCCCAATAACACATTCTTCCCAGGAGGCAGAACAGCCTGACTAATGAGGACAATAACCACTTTTCTTCCTTTTTTTCAGGTGATGCATCTCAAAAGGAAACAAGTTTCATTTCATATTTAATCACCCTGATCATCCCAAGAGGAGAAGAAAAGAATGCACATACTTAATATAGGATCCCCATGTTCTGAAGAATCCAGAGTATTCCATGGGTTCAATGGGTAACACCTCTGAGGTATTACCCACTAGAAGTTAAATAAAAATTAAATCTATATTCCAAGGTTCAGCTGGGTAAGACAATATCCACTATGGGAGACAATGCCTCCCTTGTATTTAAGAACTACTAAGGCATCACATAATGGCCTACTATTTCTTAGAAAGGATCTTAATTCTGCTACTTTTACACATAACTAGCCTAGGCAAAGCGTTGGCTAATCTCTAGATCTAAGTTTGCTTCACTTTTATTGGAGGCAATCACAAAAGAGCTGGCTAACAGGGCTAGTCACCTGACTTACCTCTGCAGCCATCATGCAGATAAGGATCTTCTTGGTCTAATTCTTCCTTTGAAATTTCAACTAAAGAGAGGAGAGATAGGCATTAGAGGAGAAAGCACTTTTCTTCTCACAGTTCTCACTGCTTGCTTGGGATGGGACTCAGACCAGGGTTTTGGATAAACCAGGACAAAATTAAAGAGCATTATTTACATATTTTACAGCTATTTCATACTTGACATTCAAATGCGCATGGCCATGGGGCATTTTCCATCTGACTGATTCAATATGAAAGTCATGCTGTGATCATAGATTATATATGGGCTGAGATTTCCAAATGCAGGTTCTTAACATTAGGCTTTTAACCAGAGCTTAACCTCATTTTCATAAGACACGTTGTTGAGGCATGCTTGACTTCCACTGACTTTATAGTAGCTTGGGGTACTCACAGTTTAATGAAAATCAGATTAACCTCAGTTATTTACTTAGTCTTCATTCCAAAAAAAACTCCACACCCAACTTTTGGGCACCTACTTATGGCATTCTTTCAAATGTACTTCATATACCTTAGAATCATAGAATCACAGAATCATTTAGGTCAGAAAAGACCTTTAAGATCATCAAGTCCAACCATTAACCTAACACTGCCATCCCACCACTAAACCACGTCCCTAACCACCTCGTCTACCCATCTTTTAAATACCTCCGGGGATGGGGACTCGACCACTTCCCTGGGCAGCCCATTCCAGTGCCTGACAACCCTTTCTGTGAAGAAATTTTTCCTAATGTCCAACCTAAACCTGCCCTGGTGCAACTTCAGACCATTTCTCCTCATCCCATCGTCCGTTACCAGGGAGAAGAGGCCAACCCCCACCTTGCTACAGACTCCTTTCAGGCAGTTGTAGAGGGCAATAAGGTCTCCCCTCAGCCTCCTTGTCTCCAGGCTAAACAACCCTAGTTCCCTCAGCCGCTCCTTGTAAGACTTGTGCTCCAGACTCCTCACTCGGAGAGACCTTAACTCGGAGAGTTCTGATCAGTGGTACTTCTGCTATGTGCATGTGTCCTGAGGGTTCTTTCTCTCCACACAGAGGACATAGAAGAGCTGAATACATCCACTGCCTGAACCCACTGCTTGCCCAAAGGACCAGCTAATGGACTTCCTCTGATCCCGCCACTTTGAACGCAGGGCAAATGGTAGGTTGGTAGCAAGATATGTAAAAACACAGTCTCAGAATACTTTGGTTATTGAAAGTAAGTTTTTGCGCAGTGGCACAAGGCTGGGTTGGTACAGTGAGTCCTCAAGCAATAGGGGTACATTCTGGTCACACAGAAGCTAATTAAATCAGTTTGCCCAAGTCTGGTTTGATTATGTAGAGGGTTTCTGGGGACACAAAACCAGAGATGACTCTTTATGTGACTAAGAAAGCATCACACAGGGAGTCAGCTTGCCTTACCCTCTGCAGCCGAATGCCTTGCATGCCTTGCTCTTGCATAACACAAACACAAAGTGCTAGTCCAAGAAGGTGCCTTACAAAATGGAGACTGATCTCTCCTTCATGACTAACAAAGGTGTCTATTCACGTTGCTTGCTCTGCCTCTCTGCAGGCAATTGTTATTGTTGAAAGGGATATTTGACATATGTTCAACCACCTGCTTGTTTCTTTAGTTTAGTGATGAGAGCATTGTCCTACCCTGCTTGTTAACATAGACCCATCTTTGCAACGCATAACGGTTCTAATGTGTGCCATAAAAACCATACTAACCATATGCATAATGGTTATTATGCATGCCACTTGCCCACAAGGGTAAGTGGGGAAATACTGCAAGCTGTGCTCACAATTCTGGATTTTCAGATGTTGATGTATTTCTCATGTCATGCAGGGGCACAGAGTCTGCAGATTTTTGTTATTGGCAGGGTGGTCTAAGTACAAAGTATTGACCAGTCCAGTCACTTCACCCAGTGCTAACGGACAAGGGGAATTCCCCTGAGGCAGGGGTGCACAAAGACACTGGCAGGGCACTTTTAAATGTTACTTGATAGTGGTGTACACTGACATAAGCCAGGTTTGAAAGACCTGAAACAAGTCTGATAATACACTGACTCAAGCAGACCAGTGCAAGCTTTTGTGGTGGGGTTTGGGTTTAAGTGATTAATTAGGATGATATCTCCCAAAATCTGTCACTGGTGATCTGCAAGCCAGACCGCATGTTTTTAGCGCTTGACTGCCCATGAAGGAGCCAACACTACACAGCATGACTTTTCTGCAGTTTCAGGTCTGCCTGCTAAGTGAAAAAGGCAAAATAAACCCAAACCCAGGTCTGTAAGGGTCAGTATGTCCACACTTACTCTCTTCAGCTCTGGGGACTACGTATGGAGAAGGGTGTCAGGAGCTGCTGCCATTTAGATGCCCTTCTCTGTTGATAATGTTGAAAGAAATGCAGATACCATGTTTTCCAGAAATGTTCAGCTCTCCCAGACAGTCCATGCATTTCAAATGCCGCCAGTTTGTGGGCATTTGCCTCTCACACAAAGGGAAATATCTGAATTCCGCTGATCTGTCAAAGGCCATCTGGCTTTCAAATCCAATTAAAAGAACTGGTTGTTGACTTTCCTTTTAATTAAGAATTTACCAGTGGGCAAAATGCTATTAAAAATCAATAGCTTATACTCAGTTTCCAAGATAAGATCATTAGTGGCCAGAATAATCTGTCTTATAGTTAAGTTCTGACACCAGGAACTGAGTGACCACTTTTCAGCTCTTTTACCCTCATGTGGTATACAACATTTCAGCTACTATTAGCCAAAAAAATGAGCTCCAAAACATGCATCATTAAGTTACTCAGAGGAGATCTCAAGTTAGAGTAATTCCAACAAAGCACAAGCATTCCTTGTAGCCCGTATAATTTTGTGTCTCGCTTTTATGATTTGCCACATAAAATACCTTGCTCCTTTTTAGGAGCATCGTCGCTGATGGACATATCAATGCCTTCTTGACCCTTCACACAGCAAGCTCTGAAGACTATTCCACACTGGTATCCTATCTTCGGGTTGGGTTCACAACTCTGACCTTGAACTTGGGCAGCCTTTCCCAGCAAACAACAGTAACAACAGGTCTGCTAAAAAAAAAAAAAAAAAGTTGTCAAATCCTAGCCCTGAACAAATCAATGCAAATTTTGTCAGTAGTGTCAACAGTGTTATCTCACCTTGGCAAACTGATGGAAAATTTTCTGCGAACTCCGTAAGAACTCCTGGTATACTTAGGCTCAGACATTTTAATCTGTAGTTGAGTTCCGTGAGCTCTGCATCTGGCCTACATAGAGCCAAGTACAGAACCTGGATCCAGTTCTCACCAATATTGTGTATGGGTGAATGCACATGCAGGGTGATGTGGAGGACCAGAATGGTCCGCACGTGTATCTGGAATTTCATTGCTCCCTGCTTGCATAGCCCAGTTACAAACATCAGAAAACACTGGGAACTCTTAACACCTCTGGTTCTCTTCTATGTCTGGTTCAATTAAACTGGGACATGATCAATTAAGTGCATGGATCAAGTTTACAATTAAACTGCCTACTCAACTTCCCAGCAAAAAATACGCCTCTCTGAACTAACAGACAAACAAATGTGATTCACCCAAGGTTACTGTTAACAGGTCATAAAGAGGAGCTATTCTGCTCTGAAAAACAGGCTACACAGTCACAGAATACACCACAGAAGTGAACACAGGGCAAGCTAATCCCATGGAGCTTTCCTTTTATTTTTAAATGAGGGGACACTGCTGATTTATTCAGTTTTCTTCCTTGCTGTTGGAAAGCAGCAAAGATATTTGGTCCTCTGGAACTGGTGCCTGCCAATTGCTACTATCATGTAAAAGCAGATTTAAGCTTTTATTGTTGAATTTATTATTCTTCCAGAATCTTTTTTGCTTGAAGGAAATAGCCTGTGCCATTAAACAGAGCTGATGGAATATAAAATAATGAACCATTGAACTAAATTTCTTTAATTTGGTGCTTTAAGCACCTACACCTATGAAAAAGAAGCAACTATGACATTTCTTTCACTACACTGAGATGTATAGCCCTGCCTATATTCTAAGTTTTCCCTTATAAGGTATTACATATGTTTCTCTCTCTACACTGCAGTAAAAGGTTCTTTTAAACACTAGAGCAGCGTGAAAGTAAAATAATAAAATTCTTTTTCCCTGCTTCTTCAATCTTTTTTTAATTTACAGCATTTTGAAGTATGTAAGCATGCTATTTTGTACTTTGTCTTTAAACACACAACTGAATCCTTTCCCTGATACAGAATGCCGTACGGCAGGAACTCTACCCTCCTGGCCAGTGCTGGGGTATTGTTTTCATGCCCACCATAGCCTTAAGACACGTTTTCCCTTATTAACTGCTGTTTGGTGGGATGGTTCCTCACTACCAACTTTTTTTTACTTGGTTCTCCAACTAACTTCCATCCAGCGGCGGATACTCTGGTTTCATCACTAGCATGTCTGGGATATTTCCATCTTTTATGGCTTTTCTGGATGACTTTTGAAATAAATACTTGATGATCTCTTCCAAGAATTGCAACATTTCCGAATATTTATTCTGTCTAACATGTCTAACATTTTCCTGAGGCATCTTTCTCAAAGTTTTTAACATCTGTCTATTATTTTGTTAGATTTCCAATTTTCACAACCATAAATTAGAAGACAGAAATGAAAACTGAGCTGAAGATTCATTGCTTGACTTAAGCCTGCATATTTTTGATAACCAAATCTTATTTAAGTTATTGAATACAGCTGATGCCTTGCCAAATTTCGACATTATATACTTCTGAATACCCTCAATGGCTTCTACTGTTAGGCATATGAATTTACTCAATCTATTTACTTGTTTTGTCACACAATGCTCAAATTGGGAGTTACAGAGTTTCTCTGGATTTTTTTGTGAAGAGTGACCATTAACCTTGCCATTCTTGAAGTGCTGAATAACCTTATGTTCTTTATTTCTTCCAGGTTGAGCCACCACTTGAAAGGCCTCTGTCTCCAGCTAATGTGAATCTTCAAGTACAGAGCTTGCTAAGTCTTGCAATGTCTGTAAGAAACTGTATCTTCATTTAATATAATTGTATGCCTTGAATCATTTGCTCTAACCTGTATTTATTCCAACTGTGCATGATGCATCTTGATTTAACATCTTGATAATAACTCATGTTGCTATACCACAGCCAGAGATGGAAAGTGTCAAATGTTTTCTTAACTGATGTTTAGGGTAACTAGCTTTTAATACTGACCCTAGAAAATTCTGCACTGGTGGTCCTAAAGGCTAACATCTCTTGTTCAACTAAAGAAAAAAGATGGAGAAGCTGTTGAATGGCCTTGTGCTCAGAGCACACTCACGACTCTGTAAGACTCACATAGGTGTCCATATATCTCACCTATGAACTTGGAAAGTCACCTTTTCTTTCAGTTCTCCCACTGTGGAATGGCAATAATACAGCAGTGATAAGGCTAGTTTAACTCACGTTCACAGAGCACTCTGGTATTCTGAGACACAAAGCAGTATGTCATTGTAACTATCACTATCCTGGTAAAATTAATCTCAATATTTCCTTTTTCACACTATTTTTTTCAGGGTTGTTAGCCTATTCTGTAAGACTTTGATCCTTTAGTCCAGAGTGCAGTCTAGACTTCATACTAGTTCAGTTCATGAAGTGTTTGCAGCCACTTCCCAAAGGTTGCCAGCTGCCCAGAGTCACGTTGCGATGACCATTCACCCATTTGCTAGAACCATTGCTTCCTTCATGGGTGGTACAACCTAATGATCACACACTTTCACTGCCTGTAAACCTTTACTTCTTAAGTGATCCTGATAATAATTTCAAACATTTTTTTCTTGGCCTCTCCACTGTCATTAGCCCATGCAGCTTCAAAGCCATGCCTTGATCTGTGTGTTTGGATAGAAAGCCATGTCCTATTTGAAGTCCTACGATCCCCTGACTGCTTCTATACCTTGCCTTCTCACAGAAAGGAATAAAGATGGAAGGAGTAAAGGAATTGTTACATATGACAAGTTTGAAGATTTATTTTTGGTGTGATTAGGAAGCACCTGAAATTTCTTTCACCAATGAGCTCTCTTAATTAGTTAAACTTTATAAGAGTTCTTTATTATTTATTATCTTTATTATTTATGTCACCATTTAAGGTACCAGATCTGGAAGGGTGAACCATGCATTAACATTGCTTTTGCGTATCTGTCCACAAGAGGTCTCTCGCTTGCTGAAATCCAGACTAACTAGTAGATGCTATGAAAAACAGACTGAAAAAAATACGAATAACTCAAAGGAATTTTTCAGAACTTTTGAAGATCTGAACAAAAATTAAAAAATGTTCACCAGTCCAAAGCAATAAAACTTTTGTGCTCACCTAATATACACAACCAAAGTACTCTTGACAAAACTGGGGAGATCAAGCTGTATCTTGATCCTTGGAAAAAGAAAGTACTTGTGACAAATCTGGGGGAAAACGTCCAAGCACCTTAAAGAAGGTCAAAATTCTACAAGCTTCACTCCTTTCTGCAGGGCTGTTGTGGTAGAAACACTCATAAAACCATTTCTACATCTCCTCTATCAGCAAGATATCTGGAAACTGATCATTGTCTTTTATGAAGATTTTAAAGATTAACGATTAATTTTGCATCTGTTTTTTCAAGGCATGAAAAGCTATGCTTCCAAAAAATTGCAGGAGTAAAATTATGCCCATTATTACCTATGCCTACTGCCTTTAAGTGTAAAAGTTGAGGCAAGTGTTGTCAAAATACAGTCTTTTTATCTTCTTTCCAATCACAGGTTTTGGATTCAAAAAAAAGATTAGCTGCCTTGTTTGCTGCAAAGTGCTGCGAATAATCCTATTAATTTAACTACTAAATCACTCTGCTTCCTTGAAGGAGACAAAGAGGATCCCAAAGACTTCCCATGCTACCTAAGCTGAACTAGAACGGACCAACTTAGGCAAAATGAGATTCACGCCAATGTGAGATGGGCTTGGTGTGAATGTAAAAGTTTACCACAACAGGACACAACTGCCAGATAAATTGTATGTCTCAAGGTCATCAGATTAAAAATGTATTCAACAAAAGAAATGATGAATTGTTCACTGATATGAGATCATAAGTCATCTATGTCCATCATGGATCAAAGAGATTATTTACAAAGATACTCCTACAGCTACCTCAGTGCAGTTATTAAGTGTAGGATATTCCTATTAGGGAATGGGCGGGCAGAAGTGGCTCACAAGGATTAAATAACACTGACTATGTTTATACCAGTAAATTAAACAGGGACAGAACATGGGCTCAGGCATTGTCCTGCAACCATCTGTAATGTTTAAATATTAGCAAGCTCTAATGGCAACTAACATCCCCTCGGACAATGAGGAAGCATATTTTGGGGTTAGCACAAGCCAGCGAGTGTTCCCAACATGCACTGTGTTTTGCAGAGGAAACACGTCAGTTACGTGACACGAGCTGTGCTGAGCCATTTATTCCCAGGGCCAGAGCTCAAGGCCAAGTCCATTTTGTTTAATAATACAGCTGTCACCACAAAAACGTGCCATCTTTAAAGCGGTCTGGCCATTTGAAAAAAACAACATTATTAACTCTTCTTCCTCATGCTGACAAGCCCACATAGGGAAACATCAGTCAATTGACAGGAAAGTGGGTTTCCTTGAACAGTTGCATTCTGGTTTAGAGTTGTCCCATGGCATGTGTTTAAATTAGTTCTGCTATTATAAATCTGTCTCTGGTAGCAAGCACTTAAATCTGCAGAGTACTCGCCATCGCAGCCCTTGTCCATCTGTTCATAGCCCTTCAAAGTACTGACATGGAGGGGTAAGTATTTTTTCATGCCACATCCAGATCGGGCTGGACAGGCTTCTAATGATACAGGCTGCAGAGAGGAATCTCCATGCCAGGAGAAGGGCATACCCTGGATGTGGTCAACAGGTGAGGTATGTCCCCTCTATGGGACACACTCCACCGTGGGACAAAATTACACTGCACATGCAGACAGGTTTGTGACAACCCAACAACGCCAGCCTCATCAGCATGTGTGGATTATTTCACAGCCCTGGCATCAGCGGCATCCTACTGCCAGGAACATGATCAACCTTTCATTTTGGAGAGATACACAACTTGTAAGTCAGACATCATCTGCCATCTTCTCTTTTTTTTTAACTGAATGTACCAAAACATTCAGTATTTTTGGCAGTGGGCAGAAGGAAAATCACTCTCATCTATTTTCATGACTGCTGAAAGAAATACATAATAGGACCAGAGCTGTTCATGACTGGGTAATGATCAAGGTCGTGATCTTACTGGTGGAACTTTCTTCCAAAAACACTCTGCAGAGTGGTATGAATATGTTCGCTTTCAAGAAAGGAGAGACAAAGATAGTAATAAAGGTGGAGGGCAGGGTACAGATTAACTTAAGATGCCAATGATAGGCGTTTTTATTCTAATACCAAATGCTATTATCACAAGCTTACAGATGTCTCCATTCAATTGTAAATCAAAGTCATGTTAACTAAGGACATGTACATGAGCTGGAATTGTAAGTACGCTGAGAGGATTAACTTCAGTCCTACCCCTTTGGACCACCAATACTGAAAACCACTGTGTTTGACCCTAGGCCATGAAGCTCTAATGAAAGCTAAAGTCTGAAACAAGACTGAGTTTCTCATCCATCCCTCCTACAGTTTTGATGTCTTCTCTTCATGCAAAAGTAGTTTTCTAGCCAATTACCCGTTCAAGACTTTCCTCCCTTTTGCATTCAACCCTCTGCTTTTGCTAAAATATAATGAGACAGTCTGCTTCACTCAACAAGGAATTGTTTCTCTCAAAGAAGCACAAAGTGGACAGCCTTAACAGAGACACGAGGTGTAGGTGGGAGAAAACGCTTCATGTGCACCAAACTGAGTATGGTGACCTTCAGGGTCAACCCTTGGTACCAATCTAGACAGTCAATACCATTTCTTAAAGACGAACAGGAGTAGCTCTAATGTCTCACCTTAAAGTATTCAGCTTCACAGGTGGAATTTTCACCAATATGAGTGTCACACTCCTCACGCACGTTGGCAAATTCAATCCCATCTGAACAGTACTGCTTCTCCAACTGGCTGTGGCAGCACTGTACCTGAGTCATGCTGACAAAAGGGTGGAAGCAATGGGAGAAGAATGTCATATATAGGTAAAGAACAGATAATGCAAGTTTTGACAACTAGCACTTGTACTAGTCTCATGGGAAGGGGTTCCTGTGGGCATGCATTTTAGTTAAGAAGTAAAAATATTCTCTAGGAGAAGGCAAAAATGTCTAGGTGATATGTTTTACACAGTTAAGGTCATATGTTTAATACAGTTTAACTGCCTGTCTACCTTGCATCATTTTTTTAAGCAAATGGATAACTTCAACCACATTGGCCACAGGGCTCAAGCCCTCCAGGACTTGCATTCTTGCATATTTTGTGATAGCTGGTGGCTGAACAGAGGATGACAAGAACAAAATCAGTGCTCTGACTGATTGAAGGGAGAACCGTAGAATCGTTTAGCTTGGAAAAGGCGCTGGACACTGTGGGAGTCTGTAATCCTATGGCCAGTCCACCCTGGCACCTGCTACCCCTTGCTCAAACAAACAGGTACGGCATGTTGAAGGAAGGTCACAGTGTTGCTCTGTGGGACAACTGGAGATATGGGGTAAAGTAAAAATGCTGAGGGAAGTCATAGCAAGAAACGGAGTGGATTGCAAGAAGGGGAGAAGATAGACAAGGGAGAGAAGAGTATTGCAGGGCAGGAAGATGTGGAGAGGAGACAGGATATAAAACTACAGGATACTCAGCTTTGTTACTTCCACTGCTCATAAAATCATTCTATTTTATCTCAGTTTCAGTGAATAATTTGAAAAACCCTTCCTGTGGAAAACAATCTGTGTGAGGAGACTTTAAACTCCTCTGATCCTGTTGCTACTGCCACTTGCATGAAAAGCCCATTCAAGGAGATATCTCCCCTCTCTCCACATTGTTTTTATGTGCCACTTTGCCTTGTTGGGTAGCGTTGTGGGTGGATCTTGCTGTTTAAAGCTCTTCCACCGCTACCTCCTGTAATAGACACTGGGAAACAAGAGAAAAAAAGAACAGTAACAAATCAGATTACACATTCAAGGATATAAACATATCCATGTGTTTTGCGATAACCCAGTTTCACTATGAATGATGTTACCTGAGTTGCTAGGGGGAAAGGAAACTATCCCAAAGGCAACCCAAACTGATAAATTCTATTTATAGTACAACAGGGGCACCTAAAAGGCATGCCCTGATCTGTTAGAGCTCTATTAGAAATGCACAGAAAAACCCTATAAATGCACTTTCATACCCATTGACATCAGAAACCTTATACATCTTACAGACCAAAACCAGAGTGCATTCTCTTTACTGTTAAGAGTGTTCACCTTTTTTTTTTCCCCCCTCAACTCCAGTTATTTGAACTGATGAGCAAATCTTTTCAAGGGTTACCTAGAAATACATAAAATTACGTAAAGATATTCAGCAAACCAATACCCTTTACTATTAAAAATCCTTTATTTACGCTGTTGGAAATTTTGGAAATACAAGGAAGAGGGGTGGGTTAGTTGCACCACTGAACTACAGGCTTCTCCTGCTGTCATCTGAGGTAAGTGGATTCCCATGCATCACCTCTGGAGGAGCTTCCCTGCTCTTGATGACCACAGGATGAGCTTCCAGCTCCCAGGCGGCATGAGGGATTCCCTCAGCTCTAAGGCCAGACCATCCAGTCTAGCCCGCTGAAAGCAGGGGACACATGGACAGTGGGCTCAGATTCTGCACCTTTGTGCATACTGGTGAGGTGAGGTTGTCAAGCTATGTTCCCGAAGATCCCCGATTCTTATTTATTAGATTTTAATGGTCTGACTGTGCAGTTCTCACTTGGACAAAACCAGCTATAAGATTTCAATGCATAGGAACAAAACCCAGGATAAGTTCATGAACAAATTATTCAAAAATAGACTCTAAAGTCATAGCAAGAAGTTAAGCCCAGGACGGTAACTTTATTTGGCAGAATATTTGAAGGTTTTGATATTTGATTTAGTTCCAGTTTGGAAGAATGTGTAGCTTTTTTGTTGCTGAAATTCCCTCTGAAACAGAATTTCCATTCCCTGCCCAGCTCTGGGGTGGTCTGACTGTCAGGACTTTGGAAGCCTGTAAAACCTGAACTTCAAGCCCAAGAGTGCGGGAGTTGAGACTTTCCAGCTCCTTTAGTCCTCCAAGTCTTGTTGGGGAGCTAGATATGTTAGCCACAGACAAACAAACAAATAAACAACAGCAGGCTTTCAGTAGATCTGTTTGATTTCCAGTGTGGCTTTTTTTTTTTTTTTTTCAAATACAAGTCATCTCTTTGAAATCTCTGACAAATTGGCATTTTCAACCAAAACAAAAAAGTTTCTCAAAATGTTTCCCACAGCTGTATTCGTAAGTCATGTGGCCCACCCCAACTGTAATAAGGAATTAAACATCAATTGAATACTAGATTAAAATACCATTTGTTCATTCTCAGAACGACAACAATAAAACCACACTTCATTGCCCAAATCCTAAGTGAAGTTGCACTGGTAGCAAATACTGCTTGAGACTGTGAACACTTGTGTGGCTGTAACAGAGGTAGAAATCCTTGAAAGATGGCAGAGAAAAATGCTAGAAAAAATCTGCACAGTACTGGTCTTCCAGCTGCAATTTAGCCTGCCCAGCTGACCATCCTCTTCCCTTTGCACACCAGCCAACGTGCTGATGGTCGCTAGAGCGTACCACCACAAACTCTTCAGACTCCAAGACTTCTGAGGTGAAGAGCGTATCTCCCTGCCTTTGCCAAGTTATGGCTGTCTCTCTGGCTTAGACCCTAATGCAATACATACCCACTTTCTACTTCACAGCAGAGTAAAGGAGCCATCTCTAATGGCTAATAGGACATCTAGATTTGTCTCTTCATGTAAAAACTTTCAACTCCTCCTGTGGAGCATGCCTATTAACTTCAGGTCTATGGACAGCTTACAATACTGGTCTCTAAAAAGAGAGAAAATAGAGGAGTACTTTCCTCTGCATGTTTGGGGTTTTTTAATTATTTCTAATAATTAAAAAAGACAAAGGCTACTTCTTTCTTATCTGCCATATTCTGATTTTCAGTTTAAATAGTGAAACAGAACTTTATCAAAATAAAGAGGTATTTGCAAAATGGCTGAAATCTTAAAACACTAAAACCAGAATCTCTAGGAGCATGAGGCCTCATAACTGACATTCACCCAGGATATTTCAAGTAAAATCATACATTTTCTGGTTTCTGTGAAAGATGAGCTTTATTCATTGCTCACTAGCGAACAAAAATCACCCAGACGTTTAAAACACCCCTATTCTTTGTGCAGATGCTGATCTAAAATTAAAGTTATTTCATTAGTAGGTAATTTGATTATAAATCAAGTTAAGAAATCATGGTTTATAGTCTCACTTTGTTAAAATTTAACCAATGTTACAGATTTTAATGGAATACATTTCCAGCTGAAAAGCTACATGTCCATTTACCTCCACAGTCCTTTCACATTTATTATTCTCCTTCCCAGAGGATGCACTCCTAAACCAGCACAGATTTCATAATCACCTATTTTTCCTTTCATTTCTTTCCATAAAAGCATTAAAATTTAACTTTGCTCTGAAAACAATGTCTTTGTTGTTAGCCTAATTTCATTACCCTCTTCCTCCCTCCTACTTACTAGCCTGTCTTCAAACTATGTCAGTGCTATTCATGTGCACAGTGGAAGGCCTTTGACAAAAAAAATGTATTAAAATTAAAAAGGGAATGATTCCACTCCAGAATTGTTTTGCAAAAACAAGCTGGGTCTTCCAACCTTAGTCCTTTCAGTTTGCAGTTTAACATGCAACAGAAATGAACTTAAGAAAATTAAGAGCAAGAGCAAGACCTGGTATTGTAAGTGACACAATATGACAAACAGAAATAATAAAGAGTGCCTCAACAATGAAAATATATGTATTTGAGCATGTGTTATAAATTAGCAGGGAATTCAAGTAAAAAGAATTGATTCGACAAACCTCAACATTAATCAGCTGCAATCCGTAAACAACTTTGTAGTTTACTTAATAAAAGTTTTCTTGAAGAAAACGAGTAAAATTATATTGATATCGTATATTATGTAGAGAAACAATGCTGATAACATTGCAGCAGAGAAAGGACCGAGTCTGACATTATTCACAAAGTGAAGTAAGCAAGGTATCCTAAATGAGTGGCAATAAAACCCTGACAACATAGCAGACTGTTCTATCCCTCTGTGAAGCCAAAAATCTTAGTGACTGTGAAGCACACCTAGCAGGCTACAGAGGAGAGATAATAATAAAGACAACTTCTCCAAAAATAACTTTAAGCAGCTTTTTCAGACATAAAACTGTCACAACTTTGATGTCCAAAATCTCAGGCTCTTCCAGACTTATAATGACGTAAATCAGTAAACATCTATCAGCAGCTAAGCATCTGGTGCCTATCACTCCAAACACTCTTGTCTTACTACATCCTTCTGTTTCTGTCTGAATCTGTATCCAAGTGCTGCCACTTGTCTCTGCTTGAGAACACAGATCGCCTTTTTGTTCTGTTTTCGCACAGCATCTAGCTGTGTTCTGTAGCGTCTTCTTTTATGCATTTTTGCAACACTAATAATAAATAATGTTATTCCCAGTGTAACCCCAAGAAGACTTTACACAGTGCTAAAGGCACGCAATTCTCATATGGAGATATGCTGTTTCTGGCCCAGGAACTAAGTTCGCTTGCTAAGAGCTCTGGGCTGAGGAAACTCTTCCTTGTGAAAGGAAGAAGATGTATTGGGCACATTGAGTTCCAAAAATAAATGGCAGCTGTTTCCAGCTGCCGTGAGTTTAACCACATCACGAGAAAATGGATGAATGGGCAAAAAGCCGCTGTTATGACAGCCAAAGGTATCATTCATTAAAACCCTACACTCGTATTTACTGAGTCATGAAGACACAGAGAAAAATACTGTCATTTTCCAGCGTGATAATACCATGAGGTACACACATTTGTGGGACAAGCAACCACAGTAAGAGATTGCAGGCATGACTGGACATGGGAGCCAGGAGCCTTGTTTCAGGTTCAGCACAACTGAGTAACAGGAGCCAGATGGATCTTAGAAACCCATGTGAAGTCCAGAGAGAGGTCTGGCTCACCTCTGGTGTAGGACAAGAATGTGAGCACATCTGCAGCTTGAACTGCACCACATTCAGCAAGTGATGCTCACACAGATGGCAAATCCCTCAACCGCAAGAAACTTTGGGGGAAGGATCCTAAAAAGATGTTGAAACCCAACTGTCAGCAGACTTGAGAATGACAGGGCTTGCGTGGAAATCCTTCTTGATTACTGTGAATGCACTTTAAGTGGCTGGGGAAAGGTCAAGTGGGCGCACTTCTAGTTCAATAAGGTAGCCTGTTCCTCACATGAACAAAAGAAAGGGCGGTGAGGGAAGCAAAAGAAACCCTAGTAGTGGGCTTGCTTTGAGGGAAGGACTGAATCTGAGATGTCATTATGTTACTGCTATTCCAAGCAGAGGATTCAAAAACAGCATGCAAATTCCTATAATGTGTATTGGGGAAAGTACTCACATCCAATCTGTTCTGTCTTGTGCGATCTTTGCACTGTAACCAAGCTCAATCAGTTTTACTTCACTAACTTCATCAACTCTGCTCACTTTACAACGTATCTTTCCCTTGCATTCAACTGCTAACCTTGCAAACCCAAGCTGAAATACGCAGGGCAAACAGACCTCCCTCTGGCATGACGTAATGCAGGTTTGTACACCCAGGAGGCCATGTTTTTTTGAAGTGCCCAAAGTCAGATGATCTACACTGCCCAAACCGTTCCACACTAGACAGTCAAAAGATCCCAGCTGGGGTTTAACCGACCACACAAATGACACCTATCTGGCCCCCAGTAGCTATGCCTGCATGCAGGTGTCTAAATAGGAAGCAAGTTCTTTTGAAAATCTGGAAGCAGTAAGGCAACATGTGCCACATTCTCACCTGCCTTGATCTCAGCAAGTGCAATGAAGCTGGTTTCGGTTTTGCTTGCATCTCTGTGCAGTAGGAATAAATGTACGAAATCAGTGTCATTACCCTCATGCGCCTGTGAAGGCGATCATGCCCCCTCGCTGTTCATTCTGGCTCCGGTTACACCAGCAAGTAGGAGTGAAATTTGGCCCTTACTTTTGTGTTTGAAATGGCATCATAAAGTGATTTTTCTGACCTCTCACAGACATGCCAGTTAGCAATCGTAACTGGAGTAAAGTAATATTACTGTTAAAGAAAGTAGTCAAAGGTCCTAATTTTACTTACTCATTTTTATAGTGAAGCAAAGCTCCAGGGCAGGCTATATTTATTTATCAAACAGTCATGAATAAATGCGACTGAACTGAATTTATCCACTTCCTTTTTTTTGTTAGTAAGTCTGCATGCCTCTCACAGAGTATGTGCATCTACCCATTTCTGATTTACCATGACATCACTGTAATTTTCTTAATTACACATCAGTTATGCACAAAAGCTAGATGAAGTATTAATACACTTTTTGCAGTCCCTATGAAGTCCTAGAGACTCTCTAAAATGGCAATCTTTAAAAGAATAAATTACATTTACAGCAGAATTGCAACTCACATTAATCAAACAATCATTAAATCATCAAGATTCTCACTCCCAGATTGTTCAATAAACTTGGTTTCCTGTTTTTCCTGCCTCTGTTCTGTCTGTAACCCTTCTAACTCTTCAAGTATTTCCTAAACTGGGATTTAAGTTCTATCTGTCAATTCTTCTGCATAAGAGACTGCTTTCTATGCCCATATACATGCAAAAATCAGAAAACATGGACAGACTTACCTGCAAGACCCATTCTTTCAGTAATAAAGATCAATCTAACGTTTCTACAATTAGCAAGGTTAAAAATCACTTTGCAATCCATTTGAAAAGATAGAGGGGAGCAATGTAATATGTTTTAAATACAAAGTCCTCTGTGAAACTGCCCCTCAAACTACGAATCACAAAGCGTTAGCTCCACAAATTAAATGTAACAAGTGCATTTAACAGCAAAAATAACGCAAACTATGGACATAAAAAATACGAATGTCCCAATCGTATAAGAGATTTAGTATAAACAAAATATTAGTCTGCAAGTAATTTTAACATTTAACTTCATTATTTCATTCGCTACATTACATAACAGAAATTAGTATCCTAGTAAATGTCAGTAGAATCAAGAAAACTATTTGTTAACTAAAGGTTACTATTTTCTATGGTCAAATGCGTTTGACAGAAGTCAGACACTCTACATAACCAGCAATCTCCTTGACCTAAGCTTTAAGTTCCCCCATCCAGCAATTCAACTGAGAACTGCAGGACCATTATCTGTATGGCACCACACAGGAGGACCACATGGGAGAAACAGTTTTAAAAGACTGTCTTGCATACATACATATGTACGTATGCAATCTATAGATCATTCACGTACAGCATCTGTTGTGTTTCTCAATAAACTTTTGTCCAAGAATTTGGACCATCATTGGGCTAGATTCACAATCTGTATAAACTAAATAAGCTTTTCTGACATTAGGGGAGCCATGCTGAGATGTACTGACTGTAGGAAGAGTCCAAGAACTGTGAGTACAGTGGAAAAACTTCTAAGAGACAGTACATGACAAACAGATTAAAGCTGCATGACTCTACACAAGACCAGCAGCAAAAAATTTAAAGGACATAATAGAAGAAAAGTAGGTACTCAGTAGGTACTCCCCAAGGCTAAATGTGGTCTTGAAAAACTTGGATTTAAGAGATGGGTGCTTCATGTTCTAAATCAGCTACCATACCTGCCATTCACATGGTTTTATATGAAAATATAAACTATATTTTAATATATAATACGTAACCATATACCTGCATTCTCTGGCCTCAGATATTAACGGTAGATCAGTACACATTCTGTTTTTATTTGCCCATTCAATACCCTTGTCGCAGCATTCTTCCATTGAAAGATCTGCAGAAATGAGGAAAGAAAGAAAAACACAACAATATATTTAATACAAACTTAGTAAATGGTATTGCATCTGCCAGTTTAAAAAAAAACCAAAAACAACCAGAAGAGAGTCAGTTTGTTTTCCCCTCCTTAATCCACACACAGAATAGTGCACCCATCCAAAAGGTAGCCATGGCCAAATGAAGCATCCATTAGCACCTTGCAATCAGCCCAAGTGCTGAAGGTATTCCGTCCTCGGTGAAGCAAACTGCAGTTCCCTTTAACCTCCCACATAAAGACACAGCCTAGGGACTGATACTACAGCAGAAAACAGTTCAGATAAGAGTCCTAAAAGGATCCTTTATTACCAAAAGCAGCAGTAGCAATAAGCAACCTTTTAAAATCTTGAATAATACAGGATAAATCAAATAACTGTCTGATATGAAAGACAGATGAATATCATTACAAGTTAATTTGCAGAACTATTTTTTCCTGAGGTTATTATCCAATTAATCTGTTTTGCTCAAAAGTGCATCTCTAAATGCAAAAGTATTGCACAGAGGGACAGAACGGTATATGGTATTTTGATCACTTAACATGTGAAAGAAAAAATAAATATAGATGACAGTTGATACCAACCCTGACACTAAAGGGAAAAGCATACTGAAGATAATTATTTGTGCAGAGTATTTTTGCAAAAGTCTCTAATTTAATAAAATTAAATGCTGTTAATGAACTGACAAGCACTACAGGTTTGCTTCATACTCCAAGTGCAAAAGTTCACTGCACAGCAGGTGTATCAGAACTTGGAATAAATCATGAGTCACATTTTCCTATTAATTATCTCGTAGTCCGGACACTGAACAGGTCCTTGTATAACAAATACGCAATCTGTTTAAAAAACCATCTGATTACCAAGAGGAACAGCTTTCTAAAGTTTTCTCTTTGTTTCCTAAGTTTTTTGACTGATGGCCCTGACAGGCTGCACCCGTGAGTGCTGAGGGAGCTAGCTGCCATTGCCAGGCTACTCACAATTATCTTTGAGGGGTCATGCAAATGAGAGAAGTTCCTGAAGAATGGAAGAGCACAAATGCCCCCCGTCTTCAAGAAGGTCAAGAGAAAAGATCTGGGAAACTACAGGCTGGTCAACCTCTTCTTGCTGTCTGGGAAGTCTGGCGAAAATCCTCCTGGGAACAATGTCCAAAGACGTGAAGGACAAGAAGGTGATCAGGAGAAGTCAGGTTGGATTTATCAGGGGGATATCATGCTTAACCAACCTCATAGCCTTCTATAATGAGAATAACCATCCCTTGGTGGATGAAGGGAGAGTAGTGGATGTTGTTTACCTTGACATTAGTAAGGCTTTAGACACTGTCTCCCATAACACCCTTGTAGACAAGCTGACAGTGTACAGGTTAGGTAACTGGATAGTGAGGGGGACTGAAAACTGGCTGAATAGCCAGGCCCAGAGGGGTGTCATCAGTGGCACAAAGTCCAGTTGGAGGCAAGTCACTAGTGGTGTACCTCAGGAGCCAATACCAGTTCCAAC